GTTATACGCAAACAATGAATCATGGAACACTACATCAGAAACTAATGATGTAACGTATGGTGATTAACATAACAATAAAAATTATAAAAAAAGAAAAAAAATGTCAACTTACAGGCAGGAGAACACATTGGAACTACTGGCATTCCGTTTAGATAAAAGATGCTTATATAATTGAGCTAAATGTGTCGTTCTTGACTGGTTTTCCTGTTCTATTTACTGATATTATTAAATAGGGGTGGGTCCTTTCATGAACTTCTTTGAGTTGGTTTGCTATGTTAAGCAGCTCGTGCAATTCCATATATGCAGTGACACTTGAAGGAGCCTTAGTTTTGTCTTCTACCTCCCACTTGAAATGGAAAAATCATCAGTAACAAACTCTCTTAGAGTATAAAAATAAATGAACACATTCTTTCATTCTTCCCTCAGCTCTCAAAAAAGCAGCAGTGCGCCAGCAGCTATGATGAACATTTATTCTAACAGGCAGTGTTTTCCCACACATTTTCCAGACCCAATTAGAAAAGCTGATATGAATCCCTGGGTTATTTAGTTTCTTCAGAATACAAAGAAGACTGCTGAAAGGTGCTCACTTGTTTATTTAAGCACTTCCTGAGAGCCTACATGCTGGGTAATCGTGCTGAGCATGAGCATACAGGGACACGAGATCCCTGCACTTCTGGAATTCCGTGCCATGTTCTTACTATTCTCTAACACGCAGTGCAGAGGCCAAAACAGCCTCTGAGTCTTCAAATAGGGCCTGAGGACTTGAAGAGGTTGGATAGCCTTGCTTCAATATTGTTTCTGGAAGTTTCTGTCAGGTCACTGAAATCTTTTCCTCACAATGTAACTTCAATAACTGGAAATAAGACATATGAGGCTTCAGAGTAAGATCTGATCTTTGTGTACTATCAAAATTCTGCTATCTAGTGCTTTTCTAATTTAGATTCGCTGAAGTCAAAACAAAAAAAGAAAAATTCTATGAGGTAACAAACAAATAGCCCTATGCACCACACTTACCTCTCATAATTTTCGGACAGGAGTATAAAAATAGAGTGTGAGCATTTAACACCAAAAAGAGGTAAAGAAATAAAGTTGGGTAAATCGTGTACATGATTGTAATAATTCTCGATCTTCCTCCTTAGTTCACATACTTACATATAGCCCCTA